TTTTGAGCTATGTAAGAAAATTTAAAATCTTGAGCAAAGATCCGTGGTTCAAACCCCTCCTCTTGCGAAGTTTTGCGAAGGAGGCTTGAACTTCCTATTAAAAGCTCATCCGCGGTGCTCTGTGATAAGACCACAAGGACTTCTTGGGTCACCTAAAGAATTAAAAAAATAAAAATAAAAAAAGTATGCTTTTAATCGTTCGTTATAATGTTGATAAAGTTACAAAAAGAACATTTAATATGCATTATTCTCATCTCAACTTAGCTGTTGTTTTCAAGTTTAAAGTCAAGTTGGGAACCATCTTATTAACAAACTGCTATTGTCTCAACATCAACTTTTTAGAATAATAAATTTCTAGCCATTTAAAATAGATACATCAGAGTCACTCAAAAAACTTGATATTCAAAACTTACTGGCGTTATTAAAGTTTAATAATCTTCTTTTTGTTTTTTACTTAATTAACAATTTACCGTGTTCAATTACAAACTTTTACACAGAAAGAACATTAGTATATTTATGCTTTACTAGAAATATTATACGATAAACACAACATCTTATAAAACTCAGATGTATGGTAAGCATTTTGTTGTAATTCAGTGCGTCTATAATGAAACAGAAGCTTTTTTAAATGAGTTCAAAAACTAAAACTTTTTAGTTTAAATAAAAAGTTTTAGTTAAACTAAAAAGTTTTTTACCTTTTAGTTAAACCAAAAGGTAAAAAGTTCAAAAACTTTTTACCTTTTCTTAATCTTAAACAAAATCAACATTCTTATTGTTATTGTTAGTAATACTGTTGCAAACATGATTTATGCAGAAAAAATAGCTTGTTGTTGCTGTTGTTTTTTATTTTTTTCCTTCCAATCAAGGCTGAATTCTATTCAACTAAAACATTTGTCATCAAAGTTATCAAGCGCTTTCTTTTAATTTCTCTTTCAATATATATGTTACTAGTGACTTTAATAATCATTACACTGAATGGCTTGGCTCTTACAAACCAACAATGCTAACACAAAAACCCAAATTGAAGTCAAAATCAAAGTGATTTTGACTTCAATTTAGCATCCATTTCTTTATATTACAATTCTCATTTAAGCTTTTTTACGGCGTGTAATCCAGGCATCATCTTTGTCATTGTCTTACAAAAGCATTTTCTTTAACTCTTTTTATTTCTCTCTAAACTATTTATTAAATGCTTGCCTGAATCTTGTTCGCCTGTTAGCCGGAAAATGATGTCTAATAGCCGGAAAATGGTATCTGCAGTTTTAATTTTTAAAAAATCTAAAGAAAATTCTGACACACCAAACAATCAACTAATTAATCTTCTGTTTATTATCTAAAGGCTTTTGATAAGTTCTGGTATGCTGGTCTTTTCCATAAGCTTGCTTCATATTGTGTCTGAAATTTTTATTGTTGAGTTTTTTTAAAAAGTTAAAACTAACCGCAGTATTAAAGTCATCTTAGGAAGCAAATATTGCAACTCTCTCAACAATCGTATATTAATGAACGGTAACCCTCTTACTGAGTCATCTTCATTATATCAACTTGGATTATCGTTCACTACTGATCTGCAAAGTTACTATCTGCTAAGATTGTTTTTCTTTATTGTGATTCCCGTTATCTTATTCATGATTCAAATTTTTACCTCTATAAATCTCTTTTTGCTCCTGTGTAAATACTGTTTTCATATTTCCGCAGGTTTTTCTAATAATGCTCTTTCTTTTTAGATAAGGTTCAATATGCATTTTAGTGTAGTCAGAAATGGTTTATTTGTTAACCGTGAGCTTCTTTCCTGTCCATGTAAAGTTATCCATGTAAATCTCTTTCTCTTTTTTACTAATGCAATCCTGGTCGCTGCTTAAAAGACCTATCATTTTAAGTTCCATCAAATAAAGTTCACTCTCAGTAGATTGATTGTCCAGCAAAGTTGTCTATTGCTGCATGCTCTAAAAATATTTAATTGTTTAGTTTTTATCCTCCACTTTAATGCTTTGAAACTCCCTTCATATTATTATATTTTTGACACATACAACCTACAACTTTTAAGTCTGTTCTTTTCTTGCTCATTAACTCTAATTTTTCTTTTTTTAATAACTCCTAATCAAAGAAGTGCTTGCAGTTTTGTTAGGAGTGAGTTAAATATAAAAAACAAACTAAACAAAACACACAAAAAAGGAGATATAACAACAATTTGTTACTTATATAAAAAATATAATGAATAAAATAAAAATGAGAAAACCAATTTTTTATTTAGATTCATCGCAATTTTTCATTATTTGATAGAAAAAAAGTTTTGTTGCAATAAAAAAAAATATATATATTTTTGGCGAGCTTATTTTTGAGCTCTAACAAAAGAATTTGCATGCATATAGACAAGTGCAAATAGGCTCGAGCGCGATAGCGGTGAACAAGTATAGAAGGCTGTTCGATGGTTCTTTTGTTTTTCTAAATGTAGAAAATTTTAATTTCTAATTTTTTGTATTTTTCAATAAATTTCAATTCTCGAAAGACTCAAAATAGTCAAAATTTTTATAATAATATTCTGAACCAGTTTATTATAATGGCTCGATGACAAATCAAGTAAATAAAACAAATAAAAGTTCATAAACACAAGTTCATAAGTTATTTAAAGAGAGGTAAAAAAAATTTTATTAGCATTAGAACATATTTATTAGCATTAGAACATATATTTTTAGTTTTTGTAAGCACATGAACATATATTTTATCATTACACTTTTGCCACAAAAATAAATATCCATACAATCAAAGCTTTTTTATCAACTTATTATGTTTTTGCTTATTTAAATTTTTAATTTTTAATTTCTCTATTTTCGGTATTAAAAAAGACAATTCTTAGTATTTTGAAATTTAGACCGAGGAATTGTTGGTTATGGTACTTGATGTAAGCTTAAATATCTTCAATAATAAACCTATAAAAAATTCTTTGTACATGTATCTTTAATGACTTTTAAAAATAAGAGCCGTGTTTTTATTTAAAACACTAAAGATTATTTTTAAACATTTTTTTATTTAAAAAAAATTCATGATTGATCATTTTTATTTGAGAAAAACATTTAAAGACTATCACTATATCAAGACTTTCATTATAATAACGCTTTTGTAACTCGTTTGTTATTGAGTTAGATTAGATTTGATTAAAATTTATTAGAACAGCGATACATGTTTTAAAGGACACGCAGGTATAAAATATAATGGACTCTGACAACGTTCCCTACAATCACATAATACATATGCTAGACAGTTTAAAATGTATATTTCATTTATATATAAGACAGTAGTTATGAAACAAAAACCAGTTAGCCGGAACAGTATTTTTCAAATTCGATAGAATTAATTTTAATTTTGAAGCTCTTTATATTTTTGGTGTTCACGACGTCAGACGGCAAATTATTGCAAGTAATAACAACCCTGAGTGAGAAAGAGTATTTACGGACATCGAGTTTACATTTTAGTTTGCGTAATTTGAAATTATGTCCTCAAGTGTAAATATAGTTGTTAAATAAAAAGAAACTTGATTTACTTAGGCAAACTAAAGTGTTCAGAATTTTGTAACATGTAATCATGTCTTGCTTGAGGCGACGAATTTCTAGTAGTTCAAAACCAAGAATTCTAAGTCTATTTAAATATGAAACATTATTTAGGTTAGAAATTCTATTGGTAAAACGTCTTTGTACTCTACCCTCTGTATTGTTCATTTCAGTGCAACTTGGCGACCAAACCGGAGAGCAATATTCTAAGATTGGTCTTATATAAGTAGTGTAGGCTTTAACAATAACACGTGAATCACGACTTTTAAAACATTTAAGGATTAGATATCCTCGAATGTTTGATGCGCGGACAAAACTTGAAATATGATTATTGTAACTTAAGTAAGAATCCATGGTCACAAAAGATCTTTTGGGTTTGTAGACCAAGTTAAATTATGATCACCTAATTGATAGTTGTAATTTATATCTTAACATGTAATTTATATCTTTAAATGAAGTAGGTGCTATTCTATCAGTAAAGCACTGATTATTGGCTACTTTTAATTGCCATTTTTTTGACCAGAAGTAAACATTATAAATGGCTAAAGCAAGATTGTGACTGTAATCGGCATCCTTAATTCAACTATATAGCTTGATATCGTCAGCATATAAAGAGCAATAAGATCTTTTACTATAGAGGGTAGATCATTAACATATAACAAAAATAACGTTGGACCCAAAACGCTACCCTGTGAAACTCCACTTAGGATGCTGGTTGGATTAGATAGATTTCCAACCAGAACTCTTTGATATCTCTCAGAAAGAAATGCTGATATCCAATGAAGCAGATTAGTTATTATGCCGTACATTGCAAGTTTCGTTAAAAGTTTTGGATGAGGTACAGAGTCAAATGCTTTTTGAAAATCAATGTACACCACGTCCGTAATTAAATTGCTGCCTAAAACATTATCCAGTCATTGGTTGACTCTAAAAGATTTGTGCGCGTAGTTCTTTCGGATAAAAAGCCGCTTTGATCAGGTGTTATTAGATTATTTACATTAAGATAATCAGCAATACTTGAAATAACAATACTTTCCATGACACGACAGCTAGATCATTTGAGGGAGATAGGTCCATAACTGTTAGCATCTGAAATAGATCCTTTTTTAAAAATGGGGCAAACCGAAGCTTGAACTGTTTTGGTAACGAGCTTGACGTAAAACTTGATTCAAATATATATGAAAGCGGAATACATATTATATGTGCTAACTGTTAAAGCTTCCTTTAGATTTTATAAAAGATTTCTGCATAATTGTTTCACTCCTCGATTTTTTTTCTTTAGCTTGCTTGCTTTTCTAAGCTTACCTCTAGATGACCTTAGTTATATGGTCGCAAATCATTAGAAATTTTACGTTTTACACTTTTATTTACAAGAAATTAAAAAAAAAAAAAAAATACTGATTGAATACAAACTGTATTGTTTACAATCCAACTTGATGTTTATATATATTTTAGAACTGGAAAAAACCATTGAGGAGATCAACATGGCACATGGTAAAATTTTTTTTTCAGTTAACGTTAAACTCTTTTGTTATACAGATATATTAAATTATAATAAAATAATAATAAAATATATCTTTATCTTTTAAAAATATTTTTTTTAATCAGAGACATATTTTTATTAGAGAATGTTATTATTATCAAAAAATAAAATTGTAAAAAATTTGTGTAAGACTCAAAATATTTGATTTTGTTGTTTGAAGGTTTTTGTTGCCTATTTATTATATTTTATTGATTTTAAATAGGAAGATTCAGTGATGTTATATCGTTACCTGGTGAGAAATAGTTTTATATTTTTATATATATATTTTTTTTATATACAATTCATACAAAAACCTTTTTTTTATTATTCATAGTTGTACATTTAAAAAAGTAAATATAAAATCTCACTGCTGGTTTTATATCTACATTTTTATTTCCATTTTATGGTGAAACGCTTGTTCTGTATACAAGATCTTTCATAAATCATCTATACAATTAGCCAAAAATTTTACACCATGTTAACTACCCTAGTAGCAAACAATATTGGCGCAATATTGGGGCAATACTGCTTACAATATTGGCGCAATATTGTAAACTATATCGGGCCAATGTTGCAGTGTGAACATTTTGCCAATATTGGCCAATATTGGCGCTACAATATTGCGCCAATATTATAAAGTCAATATTGGCCAATATTGGCGATACAATATTGCCCCAATACCGTAAATTCAATATTGGCCAGTATTGGCAAATTGTTCACACAGCAACATTGGCCCGATATAGTTTATGATATTGCGCCAATATTTAAAATAATATCGCGCCAATAATGGAGATATTATACTGGCCAATATTGGCCTAATATAGTTTACAATATTATCCTGATATATATAATATATATAACTAAATTAAGGCAATATATTGAGTATTTTCGATTAAATTTTTATTATTAAAAAATAATAAAAAATATTGCCTTCTACAAATTTGTAATAATTAAAATTACTAACAGTTTTCTAGTTTAAGTGATACTATAGTACTAGGCTGTATTATTCTTTTGAGTTAAACAGGTTATAGTCTAGGAGATGACAATAATCATAGAACACGCTTTAAGAAAAAAGAATTCGAAATAATTAAATTTATTTGAAATTATATGAAACAGATAGAAATAAAAAAAAAAGAGGTATAGAGTTTTCCAAAACCAAAATACAAAAAATATGTATATATATATATATACATATATATATATATATATATATATATATATATATATATATATATATATATATATATATATATATATATATATATATATATATATATATATATATATATGTATATATATATATATATATATATATATATATATATATATATACATATATATATATATATATATACATATATATATATATATATATATATATATATATATATATATATACATATATATATATATATATATATATATATATATATATATATATATATATATATATATATATATATATATATATATATATATATATATATATATATATATATATATATATATATATATATATATATATATATATATAATATATATATATATATATATATATATATATATATATATATATATATATATATATATATATATATATATATATATATATATATATATATATATATATATAAAGTACTGTATTATACTCTCACTATGAGATAGTGGGCATCGACTTTCATTATATTGGCGATAATTATTTCATTGCTCAATATTGGGCGTTGCTCAGTTACGGTTTTATTTTTCTTCCGCAATTTCTATTAATGGCCGTCGCCAGAAAGCTGCCAATTTTTTCTTAATTACTTTTGTCAATAACGATTTCGAAATGAACGAATATAACGATAAACGACTAAACGCAACTCTTATTAGTGTCACTTTTTTTGTAACCTGAATCCTTTTAAGCTGGAGGCACAGATAATTCCGTTCTAAAGCAGTCTCATAACTGTCAAAAAGTATAAAGAAGAGATGAAACCATAACAAACAATCAACATTTACTATATTTGAGTCAAACATAGCTAAAAAACAAAGACAATACTGTAAATAAAACAAAAACAATCTTGTAAATAAGACAATTACCAAAAAATTTTTATTTTCAGCTGCTTTCAGTTACTTTAAAAAGCGTGACTTTACGTATGGCAGTTAAATAGCAAGATAATTGCAAGTGATTTGGCCAATACACCAAACTTTCATAGATACCCCATGAAAAACAGATTACATATATGGCAAACATATTGTTTTTTCATTGAAAAATTCAGCCAGAGCAAATTTTGTAAACTTTATTATCACCTTCAGTTTAATGGTACATCTGCTAAAATATAATCACAAATAAATTTATGATATAAAAAAACTTCAGATTAACATTATTTTTTAAGATTTTTTTTTTTGTTTAACTAAAAATATTAGTCTAAAAATTATTGACATTCATTTCTTAATGTTTAATATATTCGCTTTTTATTGCAAGTAGAGTTTAATTATTGGTTAGTAAAAAAAAGTGAATTTTTAAGTTTGCGCAGTTTGGAAAAGTTTCTATGATAATATTTTCTTATTTAAATATGACATTAAGGAAGATAAACAACTTGAGGCACTAAGTAAATATTTACTTTTTTGCAATTGTACATTTAATGAACCCAAGATGCATCTAGATGTTTTTTTTAATGTCGTGACAGATTTTGAACACTATTTCAGATAGTAGACTATTCTACAAATTTGTGAATTCCATATTTGATAAGTTTTTTCAGCACATCTGTCTTACAAAACATTTTTTTCAATTTATAAGCATGATCGCATGTTGTTAAGTTGGAGTTGAATAAATACTAACTAAATATATAATCATATATTAATATTAAGAAGTGGCCATATTAACACGCATGCTATTACAACTTAGATTAACTACTTAATGGTCTGTAATTACAGTAATAAATATAATGGCTGCGCAAATGACATTCTTCTGACACAGGTGTTGATAGATAAAATATTGAATGGTATTTTATGAGGAAACAAAAGGGTTGCAACTACAATTTTAAAGATTGTGAATGCATTTGTAAGTTTCTGCCATGTCATTGCATAAGAAACGATAGCTCATGCTAGTTAAATTTAGTCTCAGTAGACTTTGGTTGTAAGTAAGTCCAGCCTGGCCAAAAACAAATTTACTAGACTAGCACAGAACATTTTAAATTAATTGTTGATCTTTTTAAAGTCTAGGATAGGAGACAGAGCTGCAAGAATCAAGGTGAGGACGATCAAGGAAAATAAACAAAGTACGAAATGTCAAGATATTGAGATTGACAAATGATCTTTTGATCATTCCTACAACTTTATTGGCGGTGTTATACTTAGTACTTACAAAATAAAAGTCAAATTACTGTCAATGAAGATCCCTTAATTTTTTTTTAGAGTTTTTAATATTTTTTTTAGAGTTTTTAATATTAATTGAAGTATTGAGATTTTTATCAACGATCATATAAATGAATTTTGTAGTTGTTGGCCCTAAGGGCATTATTTGTCCTAAGGGAAAATTTTGTATTTGTTGGTCCTAAGGGTATAACTTTACATTTTTACATTAAAACTAAGTTTTCATAGTTTTGCCTAGTTTGCTATAATGTCCATACTTTATTGCAGGTTATTGCATGGTGAGCTATGAAAAATAAATACAGATACATATAAAAACCAAATCAAAAAAATCTTCATTATATATCATAAAAGTAAAGAATGAGGGACTTCACTATTTACTATTATCCATTCTGAGTATGTACCACTTACAATGATACTTTAATGCCAATCTCTTAGGTAACATTAAAATCCAATTGTAGAGTTAGTCATTTATTCTATACGCTTTTAATTTTCAAAGTAGGAGTTGTGAAATGTGTTGAAAGATTTCAATATATCTGATATAAATTTTTTATATCAGTTTTATTCTCAAAGGCTAATGTCCAACATCAATCCTCACTAAAGTTTATTGCATTTTCAAAGTCGCATTTATATAATTTTTACTATTTTCAGTATTACTTTTTGTGTGAATTTTACTTTAATCTTGTTTAACTACTCTTAACATAACGTGATATAGCAGATCTAGTTTAACTTACTGATTTGTTTATTACCTATAGCATTGCAATAAACTATTTTTAAAATTAATTACAACCACTTTTTCTCGTAATTCAATTCGTAATATTAAATAAAAGAATATTATTACTCTTATTACTTCTTTTCGTGATTCAATCTGTTTCAAAATAAATTACCAACACTTCTTCTCCTGATTCACTCTGTAAATGTTGAATTAAAAATTCTTTTACTACTTCTTCTCTTTTCATAAATTCAAATTTTTATTTTAAACTCTTATTTATTTTTGTAAAAAAATTAATAACATAAGAATGCCTGTTTATGTAAAAAGATGCTATTATTTACATTTTAACACATTTAACAAAACTAAAGGACATTATGAATATCCCTTAACGTTACGCATGCGTACCAATATGTAAAATTTAATATAAAACCAATATTGGCAAACAATATTTCGGCAAAATTGGCATAACTATATCAGTAAAACGATAAAGGATAATATTGGCGCAATGTTTCGCTAATATTGCCATAACAATATCAGTAAAACGATAATGGATAATATTGGCGCAATATTGTTTGCCAATATTGGTAAGACAACATTGGCGTAATTTTGCTTGACAATAATGGCACAATATCGGATATCTTGGCCAAGATTAGCCAAGATACCCAATATCGTGCTAATATTACGCCAATATTGTTTGCTACTAGGGTAGATTTTCAAAAAAGATAGTTCGAAATTACCGAGTTTTAAAAACAATAACTGCTTTACAGTAACTTAATTCATTATGAATTTTGTGTATTCTGAAAACTTCATTGTAAAAGATTTATATGTTTTTATACAGCTATTAAATAATGTAGTTGTGTTTATATTACTAGGTACTTTAAAAGCTGAGGTTTTTTATATAGTTTTTACAACAATTTTTAAATCAGCATCATAAAGCATGAAGCAACATAATATGGTATTATCTCTTAATACAATATAAAAAAGTTAAAAAGCAAATTTTCAACTGTTTTATTTTAGATTTAAAATCCATTTTTCTATGGACATTAAACCTAAATTAAATTCAAAATTGGATTTTTTACAACAAGAAGTCTTTTCTTAGTGTTTGCCTGTAAGACAGGTTTACTTCAAAAGTGATGCTATTAATTAAAAGGTCATACAAGACTAGGCTAAGTTCTCCATTCAATTGGCTGGTTAAAAAAAAAAGCAATGGCTTTTTCTCTGTATTTCGTCAGTTTTTCGTGAATAAAAACTTCAGCAGTTTTACACAAATTTTTTTTCATGTAAAGTTAAGCAATTTACTCATTAATTGCTCAGCTTTACGTGAATAAAAACTTGAGTAAATTGTAGAAATTTTGAGTAAAAGCAATTGCTTTTTTTATTTACCCGGTCTAAAGTTTTATAAGTTTAATAGGCTTTCTACTAAAAAGTAAAAGCTAAAATATTTAGGTTTTATGGGTAATGATGCTACCCATAACAACAGTACCTTCTCTACCCTCAAGTAAGTCTTTTTCACTATTGCAGAAAAACTCTACCTATATCATTGAAAAAAATGTAAAATTAATTCAATATCATAACCAGGTCATCTGCCTCATAAAAAAAAGAGGCTAGAGAAACTTAAAAACTGCAAACTTTTGCTTAGTTATAAAAAAGTAAAAAAAAAATGTAAAAAACCAACAAAAAATTGTATATTGTTTAACAGTTTACAATTTATGTAAATACTTTTAAAAGCATATAAATAAAAATACTTCTAAATAATTAAACACACACGCACACACATACACACACACACACACACACAAAATTATATATATATATATATATATATATATATATATATATATATATATATATATATATATATATATATATATATATATATATATATATATATATATATATATATATATATATATATATATATATATATATATATATATATATATATATATATATATATATATATATATATATATATATATATATATATATATATGTATATATATATATATATTTATATATAGAAGCTGTCCATTAATTACGTCAACAAATTTTTTGAAACTTTCACCTTACTGCCAGGTAGCATGTTACTGCCTAGGTAGCATTTTCAAAAGACGGGTGACTGTCATCGCATAAGTCTAAAAAATTTTTAGTTATTTTTTATACTTTAAAACTATTTATTGTAACATTTGAGGAAGATCTTGAAAATCTTGTTGATAATGTGTTTAATAGTAACAGTTTATTTGTTACCATCAGAATTACTAAAAAAATTAGTATCTTGTACAAAGTGTTGTTCTAGTTTGTGATTCACGTACCTAATTATTATTACGATATGGTTATTATTACAAATTCTGTGTACATTGTTCTCCAATACATAAAACAGAAATCTATCCAATTTTCTTTATTTGTCTTGTGAACAAAAATCATTCAAAATCTAAAAGATGGACGGTACAATATTACTATTATAACAAACAAGAACCTGATGATATTCTTGTGTGCTAAAATAGCAACTTCAGTACCTTTAGAAAAAGTTTTCTCGTCAGCTGGGTATGTAGTCAATCAACGGCGTCAATCATCTTTAGCATCAATTGGTATTTGGCATCAACTGTGTGCATCATTTGAAATTTTTATATTAATAAAAAAAATAATTGATTTTTTGCTATCCCTATTTCTCATGCAATGCATGAGAAATAGGGATCGCAAAAATAAAAAAAACATGCAAATAGAGGAAAAAAGAAGTTGTATAAATTAAAGGTACAAACTTACGCATTTAGTCAAAAAATAAGATATTTTATCTTAAAATACACTATGTAGTAAATAAAGAATATATAGTACCTAAAAATATAAATAGTTGCCAAAGTTAAATAGAAGATAATATATAAAAATACATATACATATAATTTCTTTAGGAAACAGGCGAAGTCATACTGAGTTTGCAACTTTATGGAAAGACACAAATGGCAGACCACGAGTTCCATATGTTATAAATATTGGATCTAATAATACAAGAAACAGTAATGTGTTTTCTTAGATATCAATTTTTGCATAGTAGATTGTATTTACAATACTATTTAAATTGGTTTTTGCGTGAAACATCAATTAACAGTTAAAGAATAACCACATAACAAAAGGCAGGACAAATTTTAAAAAATTTTATAAAAACGTAATAATATTATTATGATATTATATTTTGCAATGTCATATTTCTATAATTTATAATAATATAACATTTTAATTATTAAGATGCTATTAAGCTTATAAGATGTAAAATTATTATGATGCATTTGTACTTGTGTTGATATCTATAGTTAGTGTTAATTTTATTATAATAAATGCAACTTATATACGTATATTGTATATATTATAATAAGATTCTATATCAATTTGACATTATGGCTGTATGTGAATCGTAATAGTATTACTCCATTTCTAATATTTAGTGGTTTTAACGTTACGCCAATGTTAAAGCAGCTCATAGCTAACGTAACTTTTCTTGCTTAAATTGAGCCGAGCAAGTTTTTAAAAGTTTGGTGAATACCATTTTATCTTGGTAAATATTGATTTTTTAGCGCTGAACTTACGAAAAAACTTACGTTTTGTTTTACGCAAATGCGCAAGTTTCGTGAATACGAATTTCACAGTTTTGAACTTACACAAACTTACTCCAAATTCACGCAAGAAAAAAGATGATTACGCTCTCTAGCTCCAAAGAATATGTTTCAATGTTTTAATTGTGGGGATAAAGGACACGTGGCTGGAAAATGCTGAAAGACACAGGGAAATGAGTGCAGGAGTAAGAAATGTTCGCTACTTTGCTTGTGAACAATGGTGGAATCAGCGCGTTGTCTATTATTCATCTAAACGTTAATGGTATGTTAGTTACAGCTATGGTAGACACGGGTTGTTCAAAGACAATTGTAAATTAAAAACTATTGTTATAAAATCAAAATAAATCCCAGATACCTCCTAAGGTAATAACTTCTGACGGTAAAATTCATGTATTTAATAGATTAGCCGTTGTCATTATTGAGGTTGATGGTACCCATGTACAAGACAAAGTTGTTTAGAAGATTTTTAACCGTTTGGAGTTGATATGATGCTTGTAATGAGTTCTATTAAATTGCTTGGAGGAGTTTTAATTTCCCCGTCTCGCATTGTGAAGTTTGTAGAATAGTAGTCTCAAGGAAAGATAAAGTCAATAAAATTTAAATTAAAAAACAAAATCAAGCTATAATTAATGATGCAAAATAAGAAGTTAAATCGAATTGAAGAAATGGAGAATGTCTCAACCAATTATTTAACAAAGTTGTTCAATGCATCATACCAAAATATGCACAAGCAAAATGTAAAAACAAACTACGGAAAACAAACTAGCAGTTATTGATTTACGCATAACTTATTTTCATTTAAAAACTGAGGGTTTTCTTTTGCCATTCCAAACAGTGGTTTTTCAAAACAAAAGGTAAGCAGATTGGATGTTATGGGGTTCGTATATTGGGATTACGTGTGTATAAGTTTGAATGCAAGTTGATGTGGTCCAGAGAGAATCAAGTTGATGCGATTCCAACAAAGTTAAATAGAAGAGTAGTGTTTTACGTTTGTGGACAGATAGTAGGTCACTTACTAGTCTTAGTTGGTTACATGCAGTTTTCAGCATTTTGAAAAGTGGTTAGTGTAATGAAACGTTAGAACAATGAAGTTTGGAATGAAAATTTAACTTGTGTGCTTTAAAAAGTTTAAGATGAGGTGGAAAAGTGGTGATCAGACTGTAAATGCTGGCGTAGGTGATATGTGAGGCTAGTTCTTTGGTTATTGGTTCTTATTCAAATTGGTAAAAATACTGTAAAAAATGCAAGATGGCTAAAAAGAGAAATGTCTGATGACTACATAAACATGGGGGAGCTAGATGCTATAATGTGAGGAATAATATGGCTTTGACGTGGAAGCTGAAGAAAGTGACTATTTTCACTTATTCCGTGACAGTGTTCCACTGGGAGTTCAAAGTAGATAATTGAATAAATTGACAGAGGCTAAACAGAGAATTGTGAAAAGAAATCATTGTACAATTAAGAAATCTGCAGAATGATCGAAAATTTCAATACTGGGAACAGTATATTGGTACAATGTTTCAGCCGACAAAAACAACGCAAGCCTAATGGAGGAAATATACTAGTATCAAATGTGAGTATCAACTAGTATCAAGTGAAAGGATTGAAAAAAGATAATCTTCCGGCAAATGCTGACATAAGTGAAATATTTAAACGTGGTGTAAACTTTTGGTTGAAACCACCAAATGCAAAGTGCCATACTAAGTGGCAGCCAGCAAAACTAAGTTGAAATATATCGAAATAGGTTGTAGAAGTTAATGAAGTTTTGCATCACGTAAAACATATTCGGTATTATAATAAAAATTGAACATGCTATATTGAACATGCTGTATATATAACAATTGAACATGCTATATAAGTCAAAGTATAAATGAACACAGACAGTTGTCGTGTTCATTTATACTTTGACTTATATAGCATGTTCAAATATAGCTACAAATAAACGGTGAAGCCAAAAATGGTTTCCAAGCAACAGAAGTGCAGTTGTCACGAAGTACTCAAGAACAACGCATGCTCCAAAAATTCGAAGATTGTTATTTTTATGTTACTTAAAAACCACAGAGATGTGTAAAGTTGGAGCAGAAAGTTCTAAAACATTCTATGGCGATTACATGGTTTCTTTTCGCTTAGCATACTATTTGTAGAAAATAAAAAAACAATTAGTTTAAAAATAAATAAAAAATAAATCGAAAATAAATAAATTAAACTCAAGTAGAAACGAAAACAACTCCACCAATATAACAAGCAAACAGAAAAAATTAAAATACGTAACTATAATTAATATAAAATCAATTAGCACTTTTAGAATAAATGATAATATAACAAAAAAAACTATGTATTAATCAGAAATCTAAAATGTGCTACATGATCTTTGATAAATTTTGACACTGCAATAATGTCATAATTACATTTTCTAAATTATGCTAAGCAACAAAAAATGTAACCGCATTTACAACATAGAAAGTTACTCAAATTTCCTAAAAATAAATATAAAGGCACATTTGAAGAAAATAGATTAGAAATCATAAATATTATTGTTAAAAATACATTAAAAAAGTATTAATAATTGTAAAAATGTCACAAAAAAATCTTTAAATTTATAAAAGTTAAAGATTTTTGCTTGAAATGAAGATTAAACAAACAAACAACTATTTTTTATAAAATATAAAGTTTTTATACTATTTCAATCTTTATAAGTATTCTCGCAAAAACCATTTTTTTTTATGTGGTGATCTTTTTGAAAATTTAACTTTATATTTCTTTAGAAGTCATCGAAGACTGGTTCTTATTTAAATATATCAGTATATAACTTAGCTGAGACTAGCTAAGGTTATATACAATGGGTTAAGCTAAGACTGATATTATTTACGACGCATAATTCAAAGAATTTATATTATTGAAATTATTTGAATATTTAGATTATACAACTATTATTAAGCAATCTGTTCGGGCTATGAATGAATATATGTCTCCTTGTGGTCATGATGTATGGGTTGAAAAGGAAGATAGTGATAGAAGCGGATATGTTGAATTTATAACCACATTGGATAATGGGTAGGTTATTTTGAACTAAACGGTTATGTATATATATATATATATATATATATATATATATATATATAGATATATATATATATATATATATATATATATATATATATATATATATATATATATATATATATATATATATATATATATATATATATATATATATATATATATATATATATATATATATATATATATATATATATGTTTATATATGCATATATATATATATATATATATATATATATATATATATATATATATATATATATATATATTTTTTTCACATTACATACAGTTCGTCTTATACGTGGTTTTCCATTTCATCTCACCTAAGGTTTCCTGCTACACTTAGGGTTAAATAATAGCAAGTCTGTTAAAAATTTGTATTAAATCTTTTTTCGTTAATCTTAATGTCATAAGAGAGTTATCTAAAATATTGTTGAGATATTTTTCTGGAGTTAGAATACAAAGAAATACAGCAATCAAGCAACACCACTTTACTAACATCTGAATAACTCTAAACTAGGAAAATTAAGCATGAACACTAAAGTAAATCATTTGAAGTTTTTTAAATATTAAAAAGATGTATATAGTAAACAGTGTATGTGGTCTATAAGAAAAACATTATATTCTTGACCTGGACTAAAGAGAGTTTTTAAAAGATAACATTCCTTTTAATAGATATTTGTGTAACATATCCATATATCTTTAAATTTTCTTACAGAGGTGTAAAAAACTAAATGTAGTGGAAGAATGACATTATGAGATGAAACAGAATTCCCCAAATAACTAAGATTTTATAATTAATCAATTTTTGCACACACCCATGTCGTTTTTTTAAGTAATAAAAAATAATGCTGTACTCTTTTTTATTATTACTTTCTTTCAGCTGCTATAGTTATATTGGGAAACAGCCATTAGAAAAACAAATAATTGCCATAGGATATAAGTGTGATACTAAAGGTGATTATTTTTTTATACTTTTTATATGACAAACTTAAAAATATTTTTTTATCACTAAGTAAATTAATTTAAAGTTTTTCAGAAAAATAAATTAGACATACTAAAAAATATTTTTATAAATATAAAAATGGTAATGGTAATTTTAGTAAAAAGTTCGTTTTTTAGTTTTTATAATAATTCGTTTATTAGTTTTTATAATCATTTTATCAGATTTCAGGACACGTAAATCGACTCATAGTAGACTGTGTTCCTCCTAAAATAGAAAACAAGATATTTATTACAATTAAATATATAACTTTTATTTTATAATAACAAAAAATACAAACTATTATGTATATTATGATATAAATGGCAATGGTGATGATTTTTTACTTGCTGTTACAACTCAATAAAAGCCATGGTAGGTCTATGTTCCACTACACCAATTTGTTCTTTATATACTTTATTTTAACAGCTTATTATTATCATATAAATATTAAATTCATCAAATAAATATAAAATTAAAAACTAAAATAACAACTCTACAAGGTTAGTTACTGCTTATTAATAAAATGTTGTGTAGTATACAACTTATTTAAAGCGTAATATAGAATTATTATGCTTTTATAGACAAGATAAATCAAAGCTGGAGGTTTTTTTTCATTTAACCGATGTCGAAAAAATCTTGAAGGCACTTGATTGCTTATTCTGCACAATGGTTGATTTTTGATATTTATTCTCAATGTCTACAGATACTAACTTTTTTACCGAGTTTAACTCTTTTTCTTGATTGTACAAGCTGTTACATAGCATCCGAAATCATCTACATTGTTTATTAAGTAAACAAAAGTCGACCCATTTGTAAAAAATGAATATACTAATATCAAGAAGCAAGCCTTTACTCTCTGGTAAGAGAATAAATATTAAAAGGTCTAGTACTGCTCGGAGTTTCCATCTTGCACAATTTAGTTAAGGTATTTTCTAAAACTTTACTTTAGGAAATAATCTAGATTTTTAAAAAAGGCAAAAAACCAAGTAAAATGAAATATAAATGTCATATTATCACGCCGTCCTGCTGTTTTAATCCTCACTTTTTTACCGCTTTTAAAATAAATTTAATTTTGTAAAAACTACAAACAGTTCAGGAATAATTATTATTCCTAAGC